GTGGGACCCTTCACAAACAGCAGATTGACACAAATTTGGCAGTAATAGTACACAGCAGTCTCTACTCAGCCACTCCCCTTCTCTCACAGAAAGATAAATACAGTGGCTGCAGTTGCTGGCATGTGATTTTAATAACAAACTTGTAAGAAATCATTCTGCACCTGGAGCAGAATTTGCAGCACATTGTTTCTTTTCTTATGAAAAGATAACTGACTGAAGAATCCTATAAGATAGTCATTGTATCAAGTATCTAGAGAAAGGAAATTTTTTGTTTTAATTCTGAGTGTAGGTCTGCTTGTAACTTCTTTACAAGATCTTTAGGCCAGCAGAAAAGCAGTAGAATGACTAGATCACAGTGATTGTGCTTCATTTGGCTATAGTGAGCCAAAAACTGACTTCAGCCACCGCTTTGCCTTTAGTCCTACAATGCTCTTTTTACTAAACATTGTCTAATACTGTTCAGAAACGCTCCTTTGATTCACTGATTTTTTTTTTTCCCTCTTTCAGTAGATTTGGACATCTCCATTGCATAATTTTTAAGTTATACTCTTGGGTTTTGATTTGCTTCAGAAGTGAGTCTATAATTATGGATGGAACAGCATCGTCTGAAGTCCATATTGAGGCTATTTGATGATATATCAGGGTCAAGAGACTATAATGATTTCATTTACAGGTTTTGAGGAATTAAAATATATGTTTCATGAATGTTTTGCCAGTCTATTCAATTAATATAATTAATTAACAATAAATTGATATGCTTATAAATACAATCCTTTTACACCAAATTGTCTTTGGAATACAGCTCAATTTATGATCCAGCAATCAGCTGATTAATTGCTAGCCTGTTTCTTTGTTGGAAAATGTATAGCTATATCATAAATGAGCTAAGCAAGTTTTGAAAACTTAATGTATTTTCAAGGGATTTCCAGGAGATATTAGCTGTTCCTCTGCAAAGTGATGACTTTTAATTATCAGAGATAATCGTATCTGCTTTATAGTCTGGAGATTAAAATTTGAAGCAATCAGTACTGTCTCCATCAGTGAACAAAGCCCAAAGACCGGTCTGAACTTTCAGTCCTCCAGTGCAAGTTAATTTGATTAAGCAGTCCTAGTAAGACTACATGCTTTGGTAAAGTTACTTAGAAGTTATGCAGCACTGAATTCTCTTGTTTAACCTTTACCCTATTCTCAAGCTTGTGTAAAAACCTTGGAGGTGAAGGGCTGCTGAAATCTTAATGCGACATCTTGTGCATACTGCACGCCCGGTGCAGCTGAACAATCAGTCCAGTAGCTTTAGTCTATAAGGCAGGTGTTCTCTAATGGGTTTGCTATCAGGATCAGCAAAAAATGTGAGTAACTGTTTAACTTGTAATGTGGTTAGAAAGGCTATTACACGGAATTTGAGAAAGAAGCCCTCAGGAGCTTTTTACACGCAAAGCTTTCAGAGGTGACTATGCAAACAGGGGTTAGATTGGTGGAATGAATGGCAGTGTGTGATGTACCCCCTTGCTGGCTTGACATGCTTTCCTGTGCCTTCTAGTAATTCCCTGGCTCTACTTCCATAGGAGATGCATTTCAAAATTTCTTTGCAGAATTTATAACCTGCTGGCGCTGTATTTTGCCTGATAGTGGAATTCTGCATACCCTTGTGCACCTAACCAAAGAGAGGTATTGACCTGTTCCCCTGTCTGTTTGTTGTGGCTATTCCCTGGAGTCAAAGGAATGTAACCATATAATGTAACTCATAAGTATGATGAATAACATTTATAGCCATTAGAGAAAGTGAGAAGCCTTTCTTAATACTCCACCACTAGAAAACTATGCTGGTCTTAGCTTGGCATTTGAGTGAAACAGAGAGGGCAGAGAGAAAAAAGGAGGAAGAAATGTCTTCTCTCCCTGTAGAAAACAGTATTGTCCATGCATCCCTTTCTAAGAGCTGATCTGTAGGGATTTACAGTCTGCCTGTGTTCAATGAACCAGTAATTTCTATCTATCTAGCAACACCCTGCCCAGCCACTGATCTAATTGTAGCTGAGCAAATCAACCCAACCCAACTGTACATCTGAAGAATGTAACGTAAAATCTGAACTATAATGTCCCAAGATTTAGGAGCAACTGTTGTGTGCCTGTACTATAACGTTGAGGTTATGCTAGCAGTTGTAAATAATTCTACAGAAAGCTGCACAGAATCAAATAGCTTTCGATCAGGTCCTTGCAGTTTCATCTTCTCCTTCACTAAAGATATATTGGATAAATTAAACTTTAAATGTATGAAACTCAGAAGCACTCTGTTTGACCTAACCTTGTTGCCACGAATAACAATGTCAATTTTAATGTTAAAATCACTATGATCATAGGTCAGTGATGATGACCTAAAAATACTGCCATAAAACATCATTCATATTAAAAACAAGCAATAAAACCACACAGAATGTTTAGTGAGAACTGGGATAATTGGATTGAATGAAAACTCTCTAAAGCCTTCATTTTCACTAAATCTTTGTTATCTTCCTTTTCTTATGAGAGTGTCAAAATAATCCATTGTTTATGACAAGATTTGTGTTACTTTATACTTTCAGATTATATAAGTTTCAGGTGCTTGAAATCTAATATTTCTCTTTCATGGACTGTTAAACAGTGATTGGCTGGATAATATAGAATACATGGGGACTAATAATTACATGGCATCTTTTAACAGGCATTCTTAATAGAGGTTCTTAAATTTTCATTTAAGAACTGTAGATAAATTTTAATTTTATATCAATATCTAAAAAAAAAATAAATCATACCGATCTTTTTTTTTCTTACTTATTTTTAGAGTAAATGATGAGGTATTATGAGAAATGCAGAACTCGACATCATGGCCAGATATACCACCACTATCATTGTATACTGAATTTTACCATCAAGCTATGAAATTTTACAGCCAGTAAAAATGTAAAGAAAATTATGCAAAGCAGCAGAGATAAAGCATTTGTTTAAAAACAGATGACACAATTTCACAATCTGATTTACAGCTTTAAATCTAATTTCCAGGGGTTTTGTTAGCTTTAGCTTCAGCTTTAACTCAACTGTTTTGTCAGTGTGCAATACAGTTCACCAGTCCTTATTGAAAGATTTGTCATATAGCAACAAAAGAGACTGCTTTAGAAAATTTCTATAAATGAACTGAAAAGCTCTTGATTTTGGCCAGTAATGAGTAACAAAAAAGAGTTAGATTGGAAGTGAAGCTGTCTGTCTGAGCAACAATATTAATTTAAAATGCACTGAAGTCATATACGATTATGAGAATGCCAAGTGTGTGGCTTAGTAAATTTGCTTGAAGAGAATTCTTGGGGGGATAGAAAGAAGAGGCAGTAGAGGTCTCGCTGAAACAGCTGCATATGAAAGGGTAATCTTTGGATTAGAAAATAAATTAGAAGAATTCAAAGGAATTTAACAACAATTTTTGAACCATATCGTAAGGGAGGATGAGGATTAAGAGCTTATGGGGTAAGAGAAAAACAGAATAGAAGGGGTGCATAAAACTCATAGCTCCATAGAGAAACATAATCCCTTTTCCATGTGTTCAAGGGTAAATTCAGTTTATTTTCACTATTTTCTTTTGAACTGTTGAATGGGAGGGAACAAAAGAGTAAACATGAACAAACCCAGTATGCATTTAAAATAAATGTTAGTTAATTCTGTAGTTGAAAAAGGTTCATATATAATCAAAAATACCTTGGCCTGTCTTTTTCTCTCTCTGAGGCTATGCATCACTAAATCATGCAGATGTATCCCTGAAAAAGCCTTGTATTCAAAATGTAAGAGTTGTATGCGAGAGTAGTAATGGCATATGCAATTCAGTATTTCTGTAAATAGAAACAATTCTATAGTGGCTATAAATGTTACTCCCTTATGATACAGTTATCAGTGAAAGGTTCTCTTCTCTGATGGAATACTTTTTGAAAGCATCAGTCTCTGCTGGTATGAAGAAATGCTATGAGAAGACTTATCCTATTCAGTAGCTAAGACTTTATTCTGGAAGTACTGACCAGGAATTTTTTTGTGATTTAAAATCTAAGAGAGTCTGACAGTTGAACTGATACTGTGGCCAGTGTTTTTTCTATCAAACTTTTTGGATAGAAAATTGGATTTTTGATTCAATTGAGATGTGCAAGAGTCGAGATTTTTCTACATAAAATTCCCAATGCTTAAAACAGAGGAACTGCTGAAAAAGGTACCAGACTGAATCATGAAAATTATAGTCTTTGACCATATGTTTCCCTTTTGTTCTAGGAGATAGATTTTCTACAACCTGGGGTTTTTGGGACATATGAGTCAACATTAAAAGGGAAGAAAACTGCATTTAAATGGCTACTCACGGGATAGTGGTAAGGTAGTCTAGAATTACTCCTTGTGCTGAAAAGTATTTGAACATTGCCATGCCATATATCTAGTACTGAGAACATCCCCAAGTTTTAAAACAGAATTAAAGTTGTACTAGTCACCTGTTCAAACAAAAAACAGATGTCCAGATTTCTCTTGTCTCTAAACTCTAACATAATGCAAGAAAAATCACTATCTTTCTAATTTTGTCAGACTTTTAATGAGGCAGAAATGAAACATCATTGCTCAAGTCTGTGATTCATACTGCAGTTTACACAGTCCCTTTGCAAAAATCCACATGGATCCATTCTCTTAGACCACTTCTCTCTTATTTACCAGAACTCTTTGATTGCCTTAACTTCATAGCATTTCTGTATGAAGTTAGCGTAAACTGCTATCTCCTTACCCTTCTTCTCCCTGACTGACATTTCAGGTCTCTTGGGAAGAACAGATTCTTACATTTTTTGCTTATCCAGAGGATTGTTATTGTCTTCCTAGCAAAATCTCCAGTCTTTCCCCTAATGAAGACATAAGCCTCTGCATTAATGAAATCCCATCCAGCTATATTGCAGTACCTCTGGCCATTCCTTACACCAGTTGAAGACACAAAGTCAGTTATTTCCAAGCCCTACCTGTTTAGTTCTCATTTTGGAATCTGGTGACAGATTGTTGTAGGTATAATGGGCCTGTGTGACTCCACAGAAAAGGACTGCAACAATACCTGAAATTCAAAGAAAAAACAGTTAGCTGCTTCTGTTTTCTTAGCTTTGTCAAAAGGCTGTGTAAAAAAGCTAATTAGACTGTCAACAGCATTTTATAACAAAATAACTTTAAGATTTGTTTTATAAGAGCATCTTTCAAACAAACTAGCATTATTTTTCTTTGCTAAATAAAAGTCTTGAATCTTCTACCTGGTCCATCATGCATTCATAGCATTACCGCTGTTGTATATTTGGCCCCAAAGTGTAGAAAATTTGTTTGAATTAATACGTGGTAACATTTGACCATAATCTGACTGACAGTAAGGCAAGGATAACATAATTGTAATATGAAGGACTTCAGACTATTTTGGCAGAAACTGAACTGGAAAGGAAAAAAATAATTTTATTACATTTAAATGGTTTGAGAACACTTGGTACTGAATAACTGCAACAGGGGAAAGTCTTTTCAGTCTGTGCTTGATTGTTAGCATTAGCATAATCAGCGTGTAACAGTGTGCAAGGTGACAGTAGCACGTTGCTTAAAAGTGATGCTCTGGCAGGTGCAAGCTGCGTTGTCCAGAATGACTAGGTCAACGACTGTAGCCATGTGGCAAGTAATTATATTTCCTAGCTCACCAGAATCATTGGATATAGTCACTGTAATGCAGTATTATAATTAAAGTAGCTGATAAGATTGCAACTGCAATTTCCTGTCAGCTCTGCACACCGATAAAGCAGAAGGAACACAGGGAGGAACACCCAGGGAGAAAATGGAAAACCAAAAATAACTGTCCACCAGTAGTCATATGTAAAAGCTCATGGAGGAAGAAAGCTCTGTGCTTTTCTTAAACTTGGGGCATGTCTACATAGATAATTTATTATGCAACAGCTCAGGGCTTGTTCATGTCCGTTCTGATCATCATTCCCCTGAAAACCTCCCCTCACACTTCCTGAAGCGTGTGGAACGTGCAAGTTCTGCTGCGTTTCTAGATGCACACCACATGAGCAACAACCGGTTTTGCACAAAGCCACCCTGCAATGTGGTCACCACATGCCTGTGGTCTCGGGGGTCCACATACAGGCAGTTTTCCACCATAGACTCCACACTGCTTTAGTTCTTGTGCCTTTCAGCCCTTCTACCCACTGTCTCCTGTCTAAGAGCTACAGCATGCTCTAATTAGCATTTTAGTTCTGATTCCTCATGGGCTGCTCTGCAAATTGTTAGGTAATTTTTAGCTCACAGGCTGCTCACATATACTGAAATAACACAAGGAAACACATTGAGGCAACAAAGCAAGCAAAAGAATACCTGTCCAGGTTTAGGCAATAGCCATCCTTGCAGGGTGTCTGTGCAGCAGCCTTCTAGGCATTTACTGGGTTAGACTAACATACAGTGAAACATATAAACCAGTTCTACTGGAAGCAAAGAGCTTGAAGTGGAATTGTGAAAGTAATCCCAGCTTGTACTTTCAGTCCTGAATTTGAAACGGGATAAGGCTTCCTCTATCTTCTCTAGGATGTTTACTCCTGAATTTACAACGGCCAGCAATAAGAGGCTCAGTAAGGGGGCAGAATGCACAGCGCTGCAGGCTTTAGCATGGCAAACCCAATATAAAACAATCTCCTACTGAAAAAGTATTAATAGAAGCAGGTCAGGCTTCCACAGCCCTGGAGGTAGGTGAAATATCTCCTTCCCCTAAAGCATGGTGTGGATAAGGAAACATGGCAATGTAAAAATTTAGACAATGCTGAAACTATTTCATCTGAGTGAGTGTGAGTGTGTGGGAAGAGCACATTGTCACATACCAGCTAAACTTATTACCTTACCATGTCTTTCTCAAGTTTCTGACTCTCTTTGGATTGTTAACTGTGAAAATGTTGTCCAACCAAATCCAACTTTTTTTACTTGTAAGCCCCTCTTGTTTCTGAGAGGAACTGAGGCCTGGCTGTAATAAGCATTTGATGGAAGAAAAAGTATGGAGTAAAAAATTCCGAGATTAATTTGGCACAAGGGATAACTGCCATCAGAAAGAAAATGAGAAAGTGAATCTTTTTTCCTACAAACCACTGTGGACATTTTCTTTCTTTCTGGGTTCTCTTTATATTGCAAATTTATCTGTACTGCTTCTACAGGACACAGTCTTTGTAGTCAAGAGAAATTCCACTTTGCTTTAACTGCTGTTTCTTTGGTTTTAAATATTTATTTTATGTCTGTTTTGATATTTATTCTTTTCTAACTATGCTAAGACTTTTCTTCAAAATGTGGGGAGTAGTGAGATTATTGTTACTGCCTAAAAATACATTCCAGGAAGTTCATGTTTTTGTTAGGTCAAATTATTCTCTTAAATGTGTCTAAGTCTTTTTTCTCAGTAACTGTTTTTGATTGTGCAGAACTGATCTGGGGTGTTTAAAAATTCTCAAGGCATTAATAATATGCAATGAGATGCTCAAACAATAAAATTTCAGTTAAAAAATCTAGCCAATCAGTAATGTTGCTAAGTATCACTAGCTCCAGGCTCTGTAACAGAAATGGAGATAAGAGTTTCTGATTCACTTTTTTCTACATGAATCACCATCATGCCGTCTTGCATTTTAAAAATTGACTATTAAATTCAACTATGATTACAAAATGTTTTTTGATTGCTAAGAAACTGTTAATTATGGGTAGTGGGAGAACTGAATGACATGAGGAATAAAATGGCCTAAATCTGATTTTACAATAGGAATAAATGATTTTAACCATGCAATTATGAAAGTGTAGAAACCAGATACCCTGTTTCCAGAGAAGACTGGGGGAATGCAGTGGAATATTTCAATTGCTACAATTGAAGGCTTAATATGTACCAGCCATGCCTCTCGCAATGAATGGTTCATTAAAAGGCTTGGAGAAAATTGTTTGTAATGCATTTCCATAAAAATGATTACTTAAGAGTAATGACCAATTACATGTTAATGCAACTACAAAGCAAAGAGAAGTACTGAAAGGGGCAAACAGAACTTTTCAGTTAGAAGGAAAAAGCAATCTGGATGTCTTTGTAAGACTATTAATGCTGAATTTTGAAGTTAGCTGAGCAGCAAAATACTGCATGAACTGTGTATGCACATAAATAATTAGGTTGTTAAATTTTTGCAGGCTTTCTTTCTCAGAGAAACAGGTAAGACCAATATCATAATACTGGAATTGTAAATAAAAAGTATTAGATGCAGGGAGGCAGAGGAAGTGAGATGGTCCTTAGTGCTCAGTGTATAAATGTCATGATTTTGGAGATTCACCTCACTTTTTCAGTGCCATTGCATTGTTTCATTTTTAAGTGGCAAATTTTGCAATTATGGAGATACATAGTATGACAATTGCTGAACAAAACACTAACCTAAACAGGAAGGTTGGGAGTTGAAATGGGTCATCAGTTGTTATATGCAATACAGCTGTCTATGTTTATTAATAAAGTTACAGAAATTTTTCACTTAATATAAAAAATGAGAAACATCACAGTAAAATGTCTATAGTCACTAGTAAACTTTCAGCTGCAGCTTGGCCTCTTTGAAGAGGTTTTATTGGAAATGAAATTCTACCATTTTAACTGTTGGTTTTTTTTCTCCTTATATAACAGAGAAATAGTGGTAGCTTGTTATCTGTTAAGAGAATTAGAAAACTTTATTCTTACATTAGTTTTGCTGAATACTTGTAGTTGAAATTGTTAAGACAAAAGCTAGCAGTATCAAAAGATAATAGAGGATAAAGGAGTAACATCTGAAATATTTTGCTGATAGTGTGAGCATTAATTTAGAAGTGTTAATCTAAAAATAATTCTTATTGTCACTGAAAGACAAAAATATTTTTTTGGATCATTTCAAAAATATGCAAAAGGAAGTGGACTCTTGCTTTTCAATATCTGGTGCTAAGAGAAAAACAGGGGGAAAAAGTCTTCTTTTGTCAGAGAAAGGCAGCATGTGCAGTGTGCTTTTATTGCAAACCTGGAAGCGACTGGCCACAAATTAAACTTCAGATTTTTCTAATCTGAGAGAATAAAACTGACATTATGTCTCTAGCTGTCAGGTCTTCTAGTGGTAAAAAAGGAATTTAGAAAAAAACACCCCAAACCTCTACCTTCTGGGGAAACAAGGGAGTGGATAAAACGTGTAACTTCATTTGAAAAGATCTATAGGTAAACTATTTGATTTTAATCCCAGTTTTGAAACATTCCAGAGCTTCAGTGATGCCTCTCTAATGATGCACAAGCTACTGCAAATTCCACAGTAAAACAAGCAACAGGAACTGGTCTATTATCAAGGCAGTGAAACTGTGGAAAAGAGAACAATGAGGACTAGGTAATAGAGAAATTATTTAAATCAGATAGCATTTACTTTGGAGTCTTATTTATGGCAGAATATTTCCACAGCACCTACTGGGCACATCCCAGTGCAGACAGAAAATGTGAGTGGTAGGAAATGAGGCACTGTCTTCTGCATCAAATAGTTGCAGTAATGAGGCTATAAACCCAGTAGCAACAATATCCCTATTCAGTCTGTTTTCGCTGAGAGTATGAAGGTGACTAATAATTTTCTTGATACTAAAGCAAAGATTTAAGGCCTCTTTCACCAGACCTGCACCAATGTCGAACGAAGGCTGGTGCTTTGTTCATGAAGCTTTCATCTCTGGAGTTGTCTGAGGTTGATTTTATGTTGAAGTGTCAGAAAGCAACAAAGGACAGAGCTGAGGGAATTTTTTAGTCCCTCATCTGAGGATTTATCATTGGTATTGCACCTGGCTGCTTCAGCTGAGATCTGCTTCAGTCTTGTACTTTTGTAACTCCAAATGAATTGCTGAATTCAATTCAGATTAGAACTCCTATGGTGAGACATAGCAGGTTTTATTCTAGACATGCTGAGTGCTTACCCTGTTTATCCTGAACCTATTCAATAGTAATAAGACTCCACTATTCCCATTTTATGCAACTGATCATTGATCTCAGCCTAATGCCGTGCTGGAATGTGTACTTTTCTCTAAAAGCAATCACCTTTCTCTTCTTCCCTTACTGTCTTAAAAGGCTGTACCTAGAACAGGACCTAAATGCGCTCGGCCCAAGCACTGACCCGAGTGTGTGCATAGTCTGGTCAAGTGCTGCCGTTGAAAGGGTGAATGGGTAACTGAATCTGCACAGAGTATCGCATCTGGCTTATAGGTCACCAAAGTATGTCTAGAACAATTCCCCATCTTAGAATAGTACATAGATCATCCAGAGCCGTTTATGAAGTCCTACAGCCAAGTAATGGATTAGTGATTTGTAGCAAACTATCACAGTTGCCATCCATCTCTGCACAGCAGTGCAAATGCCATCTTCATATCTATTAAGAGCCTGTTTTCCTAATTAGACCCAAATTTTTTTTCCTAGGAGTGGCAGAACTACAGCTTAAGAGAGTGAAGATCTCTTTCCTTTTGACCTAGAAGCCAAGATATCCTTTCTCCCTCATTACTGGGGGGAGTCTGCCTACTCTGCATGACACAACATGGCACAATACTTATGAATAAAGCAAAGAAAACCATAAAGTTTAGAATCTAAAGCTTAGAATAACTTCCTTTTATAGAAAAATGTCAGCTCAGTGAACTAAAGCCAATCACGTACCAACCTGCATTGTGCTCACAGTGCTCAAGAAATGTTTTGGTGGGTAGATCCCTTCTGATTAAAGAACTGGTCACAAGATTTTATAAAAGCAATGAGATAGATGACGGATCTAATAAAAATTACAGCAAATGGACAGGAACAGTGAACAACCACAAGAATAAATGAACTTTGTGGTCAGTACTAAAAGAACTAGAAGTTGGTGGCATTTGTTCTTACTATGTGCTAAATAGAAAGGTAGCACAGAAGTGTCTCAGTGAGAGACCAGATTTTTGGACTTGTCCTGGGTACATCAGTCATAATAAACTGCTTATTTATTTTTGGAGGAAAAGCTTTCTCACCAGGTAGACTGTTCTCTCCTGTGAGCCCTTGAATAAGGCAGGTGTCAGACATATGAAATGTTCAGACAACAATTGCTCAGGGTAAGGAAGCAGCAGTAATTTATTATCGCAAGATATTTTCTTTATAATGATCCAGTAATTTTGGGCTGGGTTCTGAAAACCCGTAAAGGAACAAAGATGACCCCCTCCAACATTTTTTCCTTCAAGATGCATTGTCTTAGCTTTATAGCACAGGTCTTTGGCATGTAAAAATCAGAGGCGATTTGCTGTAATTTTGATTCTTTTACACTGATAAATTCTGTATGACTTTGAAGTATGTGTTAATTGAATGCATATGTGCAAATGAATTCACATACACATGTTTGTGTGCATTTTTGCAGGTATATTAATCTCTTTATTTGAATATCTACTTAGTTCATACAGCTGTAGATAGAGAGGGTCTAACTGAGGTGAACATTAAATGCCCATATACATCATGGAATCTTTCACAGACTAATGACTGAGAGATCATTTAAGAACTAGCAAATTTTGTTAATTAAAAAGCAAGAGAACAAGCAGTTAATAAATGCAAAATGTACTTTCCTCATTTATTTTGACAAGTATTTAATTTTTAATGATTTTTTTAATAGCCTACTAGTAAATACTCTGTAATGAAATTTGAAAATGAAAGCAACTATATTAACACTGACCTTACTATAATTCTCTATTACATCTTTGCTCAGCAGTCAGGACTGATATACTTCAGGGCAAATCAGAAAGTGATTCTACAGTTTAAGAATCAATTTATCATGCACATGTCACAGCTTGATGATATATTTTACAAGATTAATAACTATAACACTGATTTATAATTTACAGTTATCAGCATAACAATAATTGTGTAGTCATCCCAGATTATTTAGATTTGCTGGTTTGATCACATCTATTTTTCAACCAGGGTCAGGCCCATATATTGTGTTATGTATCTTGAGGTAGAGGAAAAAAAATTATAAAATGTTGACCTGTGCTACTCTCCATTTACATTTTCTTTAAAAAAACCTGCAAGCTGAACAAGTGAGCTCTATTATCTACTATACCTACACAAAATCAGTATCGCACGTTATTTATAAATTATGACATATTTCAATATTAGATTTTAAAAGGCTCATAGTGATTGAAGAACTAGTGTAAAAAGCATTATATGAATAAAATTATTTTGCAATTACATTACTTAATAGCTACTGGGAAATACTGATGTCTAGTGCTAATCCTCCGAGGTTCATTTAGAATGAATGAACAGAGGAGACACAATACCCAAGGAAAGTGAAGATGAATATAGGTGTAAATGTACAATGGATTGAGTTAACTTTTGAGGCAAGTCTACTGAAGTCAAAGACTTCAAACTAGCAGTTTAGTTCATTGAATGGAGTGGTCCAGCAGTGTCATTGCATGATTTTGATGCTCTCTTTAATGCTAATGATGTAGGATAGATGTACTTGACTGATGTATGCATTAAGACAGACAAAGGGCAAAGCAAGTAAGCTGGGAAAGACTGGAAATGATAGATAATGGATTAAGAGCTGAGTGTGTTCTGACAGATGACTGACTTTTTCCCTGGGATCCCAACACCTTCTGCAACATAATATGCTTTGTACATAACATGCCCATATAATAACTGCGTTTTACACAGATTTCATTCAAATGGGTATGAGAAATCAGAATTCACCTCTGAAATCTATGCCGGCAACAGAACCTAAGTCAGCGGAAAGTTTCTTAACCAATGCAGTAATTCTCCTGCTGCACTGGATGTTTAAAGTCATATTTTGAAAGGAGGGAAGTTGGAGCTGTTTCAGAGGAGTCTGAGAGAAGATGAAAGCAACACCAAAACTGGTTAAACCAAGTAACTAAAAATATCCACTCTAAACTGTAATGTTAGTGCAATACTAATAAAGTCAATGTATTTACAAAACACAGCACTGAACTTCTGAAGTGACAAGAAAGGCTCCATGAGTTCCACTCTAACAGTTTCTGACACAAGCCTTTCACAGAAACTAAATGACAGACTCAACTGATTAAACTTTGTCTCCTCGCAACAGTTTAAACAGTTTCCACCCGAAACTCAAAACACACCCATGAAAAAAAAAAAAAGGCTAGTGAGAGACCTGACGGGGCTTGATGTGTTTTCCTTGGAATTTGTGTGTTGGTAGAGCAGTTTTCTTTTATATGCCTATATAATTTCCTTTATTTATAATAAATAGCTAAATTTCCCAACAATTTCCTATTTTTTCCCTTAAATTGGAACTTTACTTTGGTTCCACTCTCTTTCTCTGGGTCTCCTTCTGTCCATCTAAAATTCCTTAACATGGCTACTGTAAAAATCATCTGTGGTGTTCAATAATTAAGTCTTTTATTTCAGATATTTTATATATTGCAAAAGAAAAGAGAAATGAAACACTCTTCAGAGTGACTATCAGGAGACACTATGCTGTCTGTCATCACATTTGCTGTATGCAAAAAAGACATATGCCAATTATTGTTTTTCCTGGAGATACAGTCTGTTCCTATGCTCAAGAAATGGAAATTACCTTTGGTGCAGCACCTGAGGCTCTGAAAGATATTAGGGTTTCCCTTACAAATCCACTTTTTGGGTATAATGTATAATTTATCAGTTGTGCATTTGCTGAAAAATAGCATCCTTGTTCTCAGCTAGGAATATATTTTCTTGGAAGTCATTGGATTAGGAAATCAGTACCTCCAGTAGGAAGCAAGTGATTTACAATCATCCTTCTTTGCTTCCATTTCTACGTAGTAATCATGTCACATTTTTAAGAGCTGTTAGGACATAAAATGGACTTTTATTCCAGCTGGTATCTGATTTTCTCCATGTGATGGAATACCACCCTTTTGTTCAGTTCATGTGTCCCTCTTTTTATTCAGTGACCTGAAAATTTTGTCAGGAAGCAGGGTGCAAGATTGTATATTTAATAAAGGCAAAGATGCTGGAAGATGCAGATGTTAATGCACATTTGGAAATAGTTTGATTGGCTAATATTAAAAAAGTAACATGCTGGCTCCACAGAAGTCAGTAAAAATATAACTGTTGACTTCAAAAGGTGTTGAACAATTTTGCAAACAAAACAGCATGAGCTGCATTAACATTCCATTAAGGAGCTTTCTTTTCCTGATGTTCCCTGACATTAATGAGATCACTAGATTTCAGAGGTGACAGCATCGAGAACATTAAAACAATCAGGGTCTTACAGACTTCGTTCTTTCAAATCACGCTATATAATAGGTTACTGTCTAGGTAAACTATATCCATTTACGATTTTTGCCTGAACTTCTGTGGACTCTTTAATGCAGTCCCCAGGTATGTACTTGACTGTGACTGTACATTTTCTTTCTCAGTGTTTACAAAAAACCAGTCAGATCACACATCTTTCTACCTGACATGACTGTTGCAAAAGGTGTTTATGTAGTTGCACTAAACAAGATGAATTTAAAAAAAAATATTCAGAGGTGGCTGCAACCCACTGACAATGTTGAGAGTCACCCTGTCCTCTGTTTAATCATTGATAGCTGGGAAAAAGGAGGAGGGACCAGGACATGCAGTGCAGGCACAGGAACACACAGTCTCTGATCACCACATGGCACTGTATATTTGCTTCCTCATACCCACTGTCATCTTTGATCCCATAGCTGGGCAGAAAATAGCAGGATTAATAATGGGACAAATAGGGATGGGACAATGTGGAGGAAGGTAGGGAAGAAAGACAGGATTTTAGCCTGATCTAATAGGTCTTTGGCAGAACTCTTCAATGTCTCTAAATATTTGTTAACGACAAAACCATCTCCAATATAGCAACAGGCTTTTAGAAGCTTTATATATGTTGTCATCCCCAAAATGAACAATTTTCCCATACTAGAGATATATGCTAAAACTGCTTTTATTCAATAAAATGCAACACTTACCTGTAAGACCAGCGGCTTCTGCTGATAAGAAGGCACTCCAGGATAGGAGGAAAAACAGACCAGTCTCCAACATAGGAAACTCACACAGCTTTGTAAATTTTGTCAAGTGCTAAAAGATTACTAAGGAAAAATAAAAACTGAACTGATTTTTAAGCTAAAATTGTCCCCAACCTGATAAAGGATGAAAGATAGAAAGCTCCCCCACCATACTCATCTATACAAGTTGAATTCAGGAAAAACTGCACAGCTCCTAAAGTATGTCAAAGAGGAAAATCCAGCACAGGTTTTAAACAGGTGAAATCTACAAATTGGCTATTTCAGGTACTTCTGCAGTTTTCGAACTAATGCCTAACTGGTTGCATTTGATATTATTTTCCCAGAAAAAAGGGAAAAGAAAGTCAGTTTGTCTAGTTTTGTGAATAAACTGGCATTTGTTTACGATTGCATCAGTGCAAGAAAGATGGAAATTGCTGCCCATTCTACAACAGCATTTTACATGAGGAACTGTAAACCGCAATAAAAACTGCAGGGCAACAGATATGCCTTTTATTTCTTGATTAGACAAACTGACTGACTTTATTTGTGGTCTAGTGTTTGGCTTGTATTTTTGTATAATTGCTGCTAGTTCATAAATAAGTTGCTCTAGTTCATAAATTCATGTTTTAACCTCAAAATACTTCAGAACACTTTCCTAAAAATGTAATAATTTATAAATAGTAAAATAAAGACCAGAGTCTTGCCTAATGTTAAAAATAAATTTGCATATTAAGTTCTTTGTGGCTTCTGACAAGTGAAATTCCCTATCCATTTATGATTTATCTGTTTTCAGGGTCTTGAATCAACATTGAGAAAGATCAAGCTAAAACTAAAGATGGTCAGTCTCGGATACCATACATTTTTTCCAACATATATAGTTTTCCTCTCTGAAAACAAACCATGAAGGATATTAAAGCTGTGACAACAGCATAAGAGGATCCCATGGCAAATGATCCAGCAAAGATCCCCAGGAAATTTCCCACTGACTGGAAGAAAGCAGCAGCATCAAATGCATTAGGATTCTCCTTAGGACTGTAAATGGATATAGAGCTGAAAAGAAAACAAAGGGATGGGAGAGAGGGAGAGAAAAGGGAATAATAAATTCAATGACATTGTTATGTTTTTGGAATCAATAATTGAAAATGGACATTTTTAGGGAATCAAAATGCAAAACAATGCTTCTCTGGGCTGATAGCAGATGGGAGAGCTAAGCAGATGGAGACGGGGGGGTAACGGTTTATTTTCAGGGTATCACACTGGAAATCAATAGTCTACTGCCAGTCAGTAAACATTTTTATGCTGGAAGTGTCATAAAGAATATAGTTTCCAGGCCAACTGAACATTAAAAGGTGGTAGGTGTATAAGAAAACTGCAGGGAAGATAGATAACTTTGAATTATTTATTGCTCATATGTCTTCAGAGCAGTTATATATTCACAAATATTCTTGATAAAAAGTGCAGCTTTATGGCTGAGGCTCAAATGGGTAACACAAATCACACAAGGTACCAAATTTGCAGCAGCAGTCTTGTCATAAACCACCTAGTAGTTCCCTTCCTGGTGTAACACTACTTAAATAGAGCTGAAATGGTATATCAAGAGCTCAACAATAGCAAACCTTGTGGACAGAGTGAATATTGTCCCACAGAAAAAACCTGCTGCAGTTGTCAAAGATCATCTCCTGTATCCAACCCCTGCGTACAGCCACCAAGAATATTTTTGAATGGGGAATGTTGCCACCAAAGGGAAGGCCATTCGCTAAAGTATTTTTGAGAGTTTCAGGGTTGCTATTGCCGCTAGTCAGTTATTGCCTAGGACATTATTAACAGCAAGTATGTATGCCTTTTTCCTTATTGAAACAATAAATGTAACAGATACAAAATAGCTGTAAGCCTCCTAAGCAACATTTTAGATCTTTGTGGTTCTGTTGCTTTCAGTACTGTAGGTCTTTTATGTTCATTGTCAAAGAAGATGTATTGAGCTTGGCATTGGATTCCAGAAAAAAACTTGGATTGCTAGAAAATGATTGGTATTTTAAGCATTAAATATCAGAATTTTTAATTTGTTTCAATATTTTAAGCTCTTGCATATTAAGAAAGCGATCCCTGCAGTCTGATGTCTTCCATCTGGAGATGAGGCTTAGGCTTCATTTGCAGCTCTGTATGGATGATTTTCTAAACAGTTGCATTTGGTTAGGGATCTCCAAATAACACAAAGACACATGAAAACAGATCTCATGCTTTCAGTCTGTAGAAAAGGCACAAGGATTCTAAAGGCATATGGTGGAGCAACACTAAATACAAGTAGTGAATACTTATCCACTACAACAGAAATTACTAAGCACCAAAATCTGATATCTCTAGTAGTGCTGATTAGCACCACTACAGAACTAGTGACATGATTTGTAGTGGAAAGTGCTATTAATAGAAGTACACAAAATACTGTTCCCAGAGGAAAGGATATCTAAATTTTCAGTCCTCTTTCAACTGTGACCCTCTTAGATGAGGGGTCAGCTATAATTCTTTTCTTCTCTTGCCTTCAGATGATACTTGAAATGTTTGTTATCTCTGGCCTACTCAAAATTTATTATTTTAGAGCCCATATGAAATAAAGAACTATATTAAGCCACAGATACATTCTCTAAACTGACAGAATAGTTCTATTAAAGGAAATCCTACCAGCTGTGATACTGTAGGTTTATAATCTAATTTACTAAGTGTATTTTATATACTTAGGAATGGCTTCAGTTTAGTTATTTAAAGTTGAAATTATTTGGTAGTGTAACTGGAACTGTTACATCTAAAACTTTTAGGTGTGTGTTGACAGGAAAGCAGCTACTTGGTTCTCTGGTATTTGTCCCAAATAAGTATACAGAGACTGCAGCTGCCATTCTGTATTGCTTAGTGAATTATAAATCAGGAAATGACCTTTTGTGCCACTGGTGCTGCTGCACACATTGAGTAAAGTCAGAGAGGTCAGCCTGACTACACCCTAAAATCAAGGAAAGTAGTTCTGCTATACTGATGGGCTCTGCCCATGGAAGGGATGTTCAGTAATAAAAAGTAAAACAGAAAATCTTAACATGGAGTGAAAGTTTAGTAGTCAAATGTAAGCTATAGACATTAACTGACTTTTTATTAAGTATGTTAACAAAATCAAGTTTTATTGCCCTAAGGTTAAGACCAGTTAGGGTTCCAGTTTGCCCTCCAATTTACCAACAAATTTCAGGTACGGAGAAAACCAGAAGGAAACATCCTATTCTTCATGTGGTTATTTCAGGAACAAATATGGAGTGACTCATTCTCACTGGGAAATTTTTCTACTCAATATGCCCCCCAAACCCCATGATTTTTTAAAAGCACCATAACACAACATATGCTCATTATGCTAACTATGTGGTTTCTGGTCTAAATCTTTCCAGAGCTCAGGTTTCCCTGCAGCTCAAAGAGTATTTAGTTCTATTTTTTATTTTACATTATTTTGTACTACAGCTATTACTTCTTTTATTGAATATGCTGCTTCTTCAACACTAACTTTTAAACCCTTTAAGCATTTAAAATACATACCAATTTACCTGATACTTTTTCTATATAAGCTGTATTTCAAAAGAACAGGATTTTATCCTGTTTATTGCAATACTTCCTGCCAAGTCAATTCTTTCACCTAAATAAAAATTGCAAAATTTAACACTGGAGAGAACCATAATTAAACTTTCAGTGCCTCTACTTCCTTTTCCTCAGAGAGCAATTCAAGAAACATGCTGGCATTGACTTGCCATTTCTGCTATCTGCTCTCTGTCCCTGATACAAAAGTTCATTAACAAGCAGTGTGTGAGAGTCTGATGTTAAATGTGAAACTGTCTTTAGTTTTTAAATATTAGAGGCTTTCTAATTGTTGAACTAGTGTAAGAAAAAAATTGGTTTATTTCTGTAAATTTGTGTCAGAGGTGGATTAAGCAATTCCTGAAAATTAATGCAGTAAAAAAACCTGTTTTCAGAGACTGATAAATGAATAGAAATAATGGCGAAGATATGCTTTATCTGCCACCAATAACGAGATAGAGTGGAGGGATAGGAAAAAGGATTTTTATTGGGTCCTCACTGAATGCTTGATAGACATGTCTCACAAATACCCACCCCAGTCCCTCCTGTCTGTCTGTCTATATCTGTCTATCTGTCTGTTCTATATCCGTCTGTTCTATAAGTTTGGCAATCTCTGGCTCTCCTTTAGGATGGAGCTGAGAATAATACATAGCTTCCTTGCTGATTCTTATATGGATTAGCCAGCACTTTCTATATTAGAAAACTATTGAACAGAAACCTTTTTCTTTCCAGTTGTTCTGTGCTTCCTTGACCAAATAACAATGGGCAAGGTCAAGTGCACTCACAGCTTTCAAAAAGGAAATGTTGGTAATTATTTATTTAGATAATAAATAACAAATTAGAGTCATAAATTTTGCTTGAAACATAACGAAGGATTAACAGTTTGTGCCAGTTGTACCACGGTGATCATTTTGCTTCTTCCCTCCCCTCGTCTGTTAAGATCATTTTAGGATGAAAGTTTAGCACGATGAAGAATGTTTCTTTCTATGGACTTACACAGGTACATAATACTAAAGGCCTCCATGACAAGCAGAAGTGCTATTGCAGTAGAAACTGTACAGTCACATTTCCAGTTACATCTTAATTGATTACTTTTTACATCTTCAGTTATTCTCAAGGAAAATCTCATTTATTAAGACCCTTTTCTTCCTGTAAGTTTTCCCATCCTGTGAATATAGCACAGTGTATTTTCCTTTTAAAATACATTGAAGGCATTTAGGATCAGAGCAAAGACTTCAGTAAGTCATGGAAGTTTTTTGAGGAAAAATCTGTAGATGAGGTTAAGTTTTGTATCCCACCTTTTGTTCCTGTCAAGGCCTGATGCGCCCAGGGCTTATGTGGCAGCATCAGATATAGCGATGTTAATCAGCTGTAACTAATAGGAACAACACAAAGATTCTTGGTTTTGATATAAGACAAAGTGATGCAACACATGCACCAGATGAATTTTGGATAAAGGCAATATGCTGAAAAAAATACACTCAAGTATCAGAAGGAAAACATGTGCAAACAGCAGAAAATTTAAAATAGGGTGATGTAGAATCAATGATTACAAATGACCAGTAAACAAACTGTTTTATCCCTTTCTTTCCCCTGTCAACTTGACTGACATGAAAACAGACAGCTTATTATCTTTGAAGAGGAAGATTTCTTTCCACTTGCCAAGTCAAAGGGCTTCCCCTTGCCCAGTGGCCACCTCCTTATTTGCTGCACTATCATACACCGTGTAATACTGCACAGAATACCATCAGGAACAATCTAAAGAAAAAAAAATCGTCCTGAAAATACAGGAGGATCAGATATTTATTAAAATACCTTCATTGAATGAAGTGGGATCTCCCTCAGGTGATAAATAATTATATAACTACATTGTGATTTCACCAGCTGCTAATTAAGAAAAAAATAAAACAGGCCAGGAAAAAAAAAAATATTCTAGAGTTCAAGGTTGTTTTTAAGAGGGTTATTTAAGAAGGTTATTTTTTTTCTGACATTATACAGAAAAAGGTAGGTCACTATATTGTGTTAGAAAACTTGGAGCTTTCAGAGAAGAGGATTGAACCAAACAATTTCTGTTCCCATGCAACTTTTTAACTATGTAGTTCTCTTAAGTGTTTGAAGAAAGCTGAGAAGACAGAACTGTAATTTTCCCACAGTGTGTTTGAACTAGAAGCTCGATGCAAAAGCGCATGCATAGCACCAGACACCTACACCTTCTCTTGGCAAGCTTTATGTTGGCAAAGACTTCTAGGCTTCCATATAAAATAGCTCCTCACACAGTAATAGTAAGTAGATGAACTATAAAAATGAAAACAAATGAGATAAGATTGGGATACGAGCATGCTAAGCCAACAAAAGCGCATACGAAGTAGAGAAGATTTGCAGACAAATAAGGGAGAGCAAAGACACACCATTGCAGGAAGACTTTAGGACTAGCAAAAGCAGCCAATTGT